AAATTTAAGTGTTCAATAAGTATTCAGAATATTAGTAATTTGATAATAATAAATAATAATAACAATCTTATCTTCATAGGAAAAATCTAATGGTTCCAATAGTTGTTAGATGAATTTGACCTCAACATTAAAAGGTCATGACTCGATTACACGCATTTATGCTAGAACCCATGAGTTATAATTTATAATTTTCTTTTAATGTTGTTTGGTTAAGCTTAAAGTATGTACAAGTTACTTTTAAGTTTTAATCAAGTATTGTTCTTTTAACTCATTAATCGGGTAACATTTACAATTGCAATAACATTTATAATAACTTGTAGTTGTTGACACCGAAATTTGAAACGATCAAAATTATGCTCTAATTTTTTATTAAAAATATCAATAAATGAGAAATATGAAATTAATAATTATTAAATTAAAATATCTAGCCCTTGTTTGGAGGCTATTGTCGGCAGATTTTTAGTAAAATTTTGTCCGTTATACAGTAAACGGCAGTTGTATTTATTGACCAAACAAAGAAAAATTACATTTGTGTCATTTTGACATTCATTTCATTGTATTTGAGAGATGGACGTTTCTGAAAATTTGCTTGATGTTGAGTCAATAATGACGGCTGCATAGGAATCTAAATTTTTTTTTCCAATAATCCAAATTATTCTTAAAATCCAGTAAGAATCGTTCCCAGACAAGGGTCTAATATACTTTCTCTATCGAATCTGAACATATCAGCTTCTAATAAAAAAAAATATTCTCTTTCATTTTTTTTTCATGTTCTTTGAGAGAAAAAAAGTAATTGTCTTCGAAGAAATATCTGTTGTTGAGTAGTTTTTCATAATAATTTCATTAGACTGGTTGTATATTTTGCTTAATACTAGTCAACGTTGAACGTGTATTGCACATTATTAAGAAATTATTTATAATTGTTGTGAAAGTAATACTATTTGAATATACGTGAATGTTAATCAATATTAAGGAATATATATGTGACCATGGATGTTAAATCATTTATTTAATTTACAATTAAGTAAAATTTGATGTTAATTAACATATATGGACGTGAATAATAAAATGTATTCTTGAATGTAAAGTTTTAATTAACTTATAATTAGAATTAATAACACTAAAATACATAAATGAAGTTAAATATTAATTAAAAGAATATGAATTTTAATTAATTGAGAACTAATAATAGAAAATTCATACATCAATGAAAGTACACATGTAAAATGAATATGTCAAATGTGCATGTATAATTAAATGGTTAAATAAGTTAAATATTATTGAAAAACGAAAAGTAATACATTATTGAAATAATTAAATTATAATATGATGTTTTATTTGATATATTATAGATAATTTGAATATTGGGTAGAATAAACTGTGAATAAGCTCATGTTTGGCACATATTCTTACAAAATTTATTTCAATCACACATTTTTCAATAAAATAATATTTTATTTACATTAATAATTTTTCCTTACTTTTTAATCACATATTTCTCTTTAAATCACTATTTAAAATACATTTATTTTTTAATAATATCTATCAAACGCGCCTTAGGTCGAATTGAAAATCAACAACGTAAAATAAAGGGTAAAAAAGATGAAAAAGATTGCTTCCTCTCAGGAGACAAGATTCGGTGTCGAATAAAGCTGTATTCTTTGGGACACGTGTACCTGTTTGATAAATTGAACGGCCATTATTGAGCAGACAACATCAAAAGTCGCTCTTTTTGGCTGAAAATTTTTTAAGCTTCTTACTTTAACGTTGAAAAACCTCATTGATTCGTTTGGATTTGATTAGAGAACTACACTTTCAACCAAAAGTTGCAAAATATGAAATGCTATTCAATAGATTTGTTGGGAAGATTAATGTTATTTTCCGCACGAATGATTCACCTCAAAGAGGCAATAGTACTTGAATAATTCTATTTGTACAATCGAGATAGTCAATCGAAATTCTACTTGTACAATCGAGGTTGACAATCTCTCACATGTGTGCGGGGTTCGCGTGTTTAAAAAATTCAACAAAAAAAAAAGTGAACCCCCCATGTGAGTGGTTGTCAACCGAAGTTGTACAACTATCTTGGTCCTTTCTTCATCGAGATGAAATAAATATTAAATCATTGCAAAATATTATCGTATGACTGAAAAACAGAATAATTACATTCATTTTGGGGAAAAAAAAATAAACATTACCATAAAGAAAATAGTTTATTTGGTAGCCATATGTCTATTTTGTGAACAAATATTGATAAAAAGAAGAATTTATTTTTGTTGTTAATTTTTTTTTTTTTCCGTAAAGAATACAAAATTCATTATCAAATACTCTAAAAAGGGAATAGAATATACGTAGATGAGACTTGAGAGGGATTCTGGCATCTAATACGGGAATAGAAGACAGTGTACGAAATGAAATCCCAACATCCGAAATATAGGATCCAAGGTGGATTTACATCAACTTGCATGTCCACCTAGGTATTCCTAAAACTTAGTCAGTGTTTTTAAAAATTAATATGAACATTAATTCGAAAAAGATAAATATATTCTTGAAAAAATAGGGCTCAAACAGGGACTAAATATTAAAATTCACTATTATTTTTCACTTATATAAGAAATTGTTCTAAAGATTTGTTATTTGTATATTGGGGTTGACAACCCCCTCACAACAGGGGCCCATGTCCAATAAGAAAATTGCGGGCCCCCTTTTGTAAGGGCATGTACAGCGGTGTACACATAGGTAAATCTTTGTTCTAATTCAAACATGACACTTCGATGTACACGTAGCAAAACCCTTGTTCTAACTCAAGCATTAAGAAAACTATAAAACATTATACAAAGGTACTTCTAATCTTGGGACCAATAAGCTGAAAATGGGCCTAAGTCTTGGGCATATGCACCCAAAGTTGCTACAAAGAACTCGCACTATAACCATTAGAATAATTCTTTGTGCTCATTGAAATATGTCAACTTGGTCCACTTGTGGCAATTTGTGTATAAGTTGAGCAATATATTTTGTACATAACTTGGTTGTGCTTTATTAGCATCGGTTCAACACTTCAACTTCGCAAGTCGAGCAATATATTTTGTATGTTTACTAAGTCAAGTATCTAATCGAGGTGAGTGAAGTTAGAGTGTAAAGAATAAGAATGGGAGGAAAATTGCATTAGAATGTTTCCTAAAATGTTTCAAAATATATTGTGCATATCCTAAAAGTATAAATATATACGAAAATTATTTTTATATGAAAGTGATGTGGTTTGACTTCTTTGTATTTTGTAGTAGTCAGTTCAAATTCGATAATCGAGCAATATTTTTGCATGTTTACTAAGTCAAGTATCTATTTGATGCAATATATATATATATATACACACACACACACACACATTAACCGAACATAGGCTAAGTCGTCAAGTATCTAATGACATTGATAGATTTAGAACGTGAACGAAGTAGAATACGATTGGAAATATGAGAACAATTTGCATAAGAAAAATTTGTCAAAATATTGTGTACAACGAAAGGATAAATGTCACATTGGCAATATATCGAGGTTGGTTTAAACCCAGCTCGGCTCAATAATTCGTCAATCTGCTATATGATGGTATAATCCACTTGTCCTTCCAAAATACTCAATACAAACGAAGATGAAAAAAAAAATTCAAATTTTCTGCTAGATCCCTGATGTCACCCGGCTTTGTTCTATTGAGTCGATGAGCTTCCAAAATTCCAAATACAAAAATCGAAAGTGTCATTTTTATTTTTTATGGAGATATCAACTACAACTAGTGAAATTCAGAGCACTTGGGAATTCATCCATTGTTTACAAATGATTTACTCTTTGACATGCAGTTTTTGAGCCTCTACTTGCCTGGTCTCTATGCAGTTTTTGGGCCTTTACCTGCCTGGTCTTCATTTGCGGATTAAATGTAGTAAGGCCCGTTTAGAAAACGGGCTGAGATACAGCCCATAAACATTTCCAACGAAAATTTTGTAATTATTGTAGTAATCCATTATCGTTTCAGCTACGCTCACTGCACGTATAGAAGAATTTTATTTTTTTTTGCTATCGATGATATCAAGAAAATAAAATATATACATCCAAGACAACAATAGAGCTGTTAGTGAGTTGAATTCACTTGATATACGAGACAACGATTGAACTGGATTTTGAGGCGCACAAGAGATCAAAGATGTTCCCGCGATAAAAATTGGATTATTGTATGAATGTTTGGCTAACCTTAGAAATATACTTCTTTGGAAGGAAGGTGAAGACGAAAGAGTAAGTTTTTAAACAAAAAGTTAAAAGAAAAAGCTTTCAGAAAGATATGTTCGGTAAAAAAAGTCAATTTAAAGCAACTTTTAAGTTTAGTTAAGAGAAAATTACCTAAAACCAGGTATTTAAGTTACCAAATTCAAAAATAGGTGCAGTGTTTATTTTATCAAAATTCAGGTGTTAATTAAAACCTAATTAAACCTGATTTTCAATCCCATATCTCAGTCGTCTCTTCCCAAGCCCAGTTCCACCCCCTCTATCTCGTCTCTCCCTCCTCGTTCTCTCTTCTCTCTCGGCCTTCCTCGTGTCGTCACCGGAGACCACAGACGCTGCTATGTCTAAATGCTTCAGCTTAACTGCATCAAGAAACTGGAGCCTCAAATCCGGCTTTACCAATTTGGTCCTCCGATCGACTGTCACTGACCTAGGTGATGGTACTGTAATGCACTGTTGTGCACCAAAAATCGAAACCGTTTCTCTCCTACTTGACCATTACCAGCACAGCGCCAAAAATGGTGTCATCTGCTGAAAGAAGAAGCGTTTGCAGCCATCAGGGGGAAGGAAAATCGAACTGTCCATAAGCTGTTCGACGGAAGGTCTCAATTCAGCCCTCACAACACGTCTACTTCCCTCTTCCTCTCTCAGATCCAAACACTAATTTTTTTTAAAAATTCAAATCTCGTTTTCACAAATTGAAAAATTTAAATATAATTTCTCAAGCTGAGATGGCGGCAGCCGCGACGATGGTGAGCTCACCGGGAGGTTTATTGGCGATGCTGAACGAGACTCACCCGGGGCTTAAGTTACATGCGCTTTCAAATCTCAACGCCTTTGTTGATTACTTCTGGCCCGAGATCTCCACCTCCGTACCCATAATAGAAAGTTTATATGAAGATGAAGAGTATGACAAAAGACAACTAGCAGCATTACTTGTTTCGAAGGTTTTTTATTATCTGGGTGAACTTAATGATTCCTTATCCTATGCCCTTGCTAAAGCAATAGATGAATATGCCAATTTCAAGACTAAGGCTGCTGAAGGGAATGACGAATCTGTGGTGGTGGATCCTAGATTAGAGGCAATTGTTGAGAGAATGCTTGATAAATGTATATTAGATGGGGTTGTTTC